GAGAGAGAATAAAGGTTCCTGTAGAGCTTTTACTAATTGCACCAAGCAACAAACCCCCTTACGTTTATAGGAAGGAAAAAAAAAAGAGAAAAGAAAAGAAAAGAAAAGAAAGGAAAAGAAATTAAGAAAACTATACAGTGCCACGCTTCACAAAACACATTTCTTTTCAAGATCATAATAACTGGCTGGCTTAGAGGAAGAAAGAAAAGAAACAACAAAATAAATGCAGCACTAAATTTTTTTTTCTTTTATGAGATATAAGTGGACAAGAAAAAAAATGGTAACATAGTTGGCTTAACATGTTTTACCTGTTCATTCAATATAATTTATTTTTATATGGGGAAAAGGGAAAGAATATAAGAAAACTACAGTGCATGCTTCACAAACACATTTCTTTAAAGAACAGGGAATACTAAGTTGAGGAATGAAGAAAAGAAAACAACAAAATAATGCATACAAAAAATTTGGAGCTATAAGCAAATAAGAAAAAGTGAATAACGGGACCAGAAAACATGAGAACCCCAACACTTGGTAACACAAAACAAAATAACATGGCTACTAAAAAAAAGTTTGCAAACACTGCTATTGAATATATCAAGGAGTTTGGACCTTTGGCAATTTGTGTTGTTCCTGCCGAATCATGGAACCATATATTGAGCAATTGAAAACTATGAATCAAAATGCCTACAAAAAACAATTTTGCAGACTAAAGAACCTTCAGCCTGTGTTTATTATATGTTCTACGGAAAAATGTTACATGATCTATAGATAGATCTATCCATTATGAAATGAAAAGACTTCCCAATAAAAGTACTTGTAATGTCTCAAAAGCAATACTAAGAGCTTGAAAATTAACAACAGAAACATATACGATTCTAATGTTCTATATATCACTAGACACATCTTTATCCTGTAAGCAGCCCAAAAAAAAACAAGAATACGTAAATGAGAAATTTATGAATAACCAAAATTGGAAAAGGGAGGTGAAACTAGCATGGACATTAACTCTTGTGATTCGCAAGAGGGAAAAGTTTAAAAAAATGTCATTCCTAATGCTTAAGATCATTGTTTAGAAGTTTAAAAATCGTCATTCCTACTACTACCGCCATTAGTTGAGTAGTAGGCAAGTTATTGTCATTAAAATCTCAAGAGTTTGATAGCAATACTACATAACTATGGCCTAGTGAGAGACGATTCATTCATCATTCTTATTCTTATTCTCTATAAGACTAATTTCTTGTAGTGACACTCCCTTCCCTTTACAATGTCTCATTTGAATTCTTAAAAACTTTTATGCTCCATTACAAAACAGAATAGTCATTTTATAAGAGGTTAATATACGATAAGTTTTTCAACAACACTGGTTGATGGTTTGATGGGTTGATGGGGTTGTCTCTCGGAAATATCTTCAACACTTGACATGCAGAATCTTATCCGTTTCCTGTCACAAACAAGAGGGGAAATCCTAACAAAATAAAAAGATTAGACAAATGTTTCAATCAAATAAAAAGTGAAATGATTGAATCTACATACCATATGGAGAATTACTACCAAAAAAAATCATATACCACAGTAAATAAATAAACATTTAAGGTGCAAAACCCTTTGTAGTTGTAGGAAATATGCAGGAAAATGAAAGCCATTACATTTAAGTTCAATGAAGTAAATAAATAAACATTTAAGGTGCAAAACTACAAAGAAGAAGACATGAACTTCATAGATATTATAGATTGCATTACATAATAAAAAATTGGAAAAACAAAAACATAAAATTGATTTTGGACAAGGCTAGAGAACACTTGTATATTTCAGAACCATTTCAAAACTTGAATCCCATTTAGACTATTGAAACTCATATAAAAAAAAAGACAAATCTTAGAGTTTCTGGATTCACATCCATAAGCATGGTGTCTGTTAGATTTTTCTTTTCTTTTTTCTTTTTAAATATGAAAAAAAGGAGAAACAGGGGGAAAACTCACTACCTAAGAATTTATAATATAAAAAAAAAAATCAAAACCCCCCACCCAGAAATCGTTGAATCAAATGCCCTAATTCAAAACCCCACACCAGAAATCGTTGAATTGAAATCCAAATAGTTTAATCAAATGCCCTAATTTAAGAAGAGAAAGGTTTAAGAAAAAAAGAAACAAACTCTAGGTTTAGAACCTTACCAAAATTGCAGGTCTTTCCCAAGCCAATGAGTTTCGAAGGGTTGTAAGGGAAATGCAAAGCACCGTCTATGGCGAAGAGGGTGGGTCTCCATTGGGGAAGAGGATCCGAATTCAGGGAAGAGGAGGAGATGCAAAGGTCGTGCCCATGAGGTGTTTATCATTCTCTCAGAGAGAGAGAGAGAGAGAGAGAGAGAGCAGGAGTCACGAAAGAGAGGAGAAGAAAAGAAAATTATTTTTTTTAGAAATTTAATTGAATTTTCTAAATTGAATTTTTTGTAATATATATTCATCACACTTATTTAGAAGTTGTGATTAAAAAAATTATATATAATCACATCATTACACTTATTTAGAAGTTGTAATTAAAAAAAATTATATATAATCACATTTAGAAGGTGAGATAATATATATATATATATAATCAAACTTAATTAAAAAGTGACATAAAAATAAATATTATACATTTAATCAAATTAATTGTGATTAAAAATATCAATCTAATTTTTTTTTATCACACTTCTAATAAAAGTGGATATTTTCATTGAAAAATGCTAGAGGTCCCAAATTTTCTACCAAAATAAATGACCAAATTCTCACATGGGTGTGGGCCACAAATTGCGGACCCCACACCCATGTGAGACATTTGGTCATTTGTTTGGTAGAAAATTTGATGTCCCTAGCATTACTCATTTTCATTTGTCAAAGTGTGCTCTTTAGCTGTTTTTATAGTAGGCATATTTTGAGAGAGAAGAGAGATGATAAACAGAAAAGGGGTAAAAAATTAATACCCTTTTTTTTGGTCATTGTTACTCAATACATCAAAATTTTCTCACCAAAATTGGTGACAACATTATTTTCTCACCAAAAACACTCAAAAATATTAAAAATTATTGGTGACGAAAATATATTTCTCACAAATAATTTTATAATTAATAACAAATTTTATAATTAGTGAAAAAAAAATTTCTCACAAAAAGTTTCAAATTTTGGTGCCATAAAAAAATTAGTGGCAAAAATTAGGTGACGAAACATAATTTTTTTTCTCACCTAAAAGTAAGCATTATTGACTGAAATAAATTTCGTCACCTATTATTTTTATTTTTTTATTATACGTGGCAAAATTTATAATTCCTCATAGATTATTCTTGTTTAGTGACGAAATTTGTTTTCTTCACTAATTTTCGTCATCATACCAAAACAGAGAATAAGAGAAAGAGACACTAGAAAAAGAGCAAAGAGAAATCACGTGCCAAATCATCGAGCGAAGAAGATGTGGCGGTTACCGGCAAGGCTACTGGTGGCGGCGGCAATCGGTGATTGGCAAGGCTAATAGAGGTGACGACGATGGCGATCGACGTGGTGGAGGAAGAAGAGGTAAGACAAATTAATTCCCTATTTTGAGAGAGAGAGAGAGAGAGAGAGAGAGAGATAATAAACAAAAAAGCGGTAAAAAAATTAATACCCTATCGTTTTTTATTGCCGCTCAATATATAAAAAATTTTCCACCAAAATTGGTGAGAATATTATTTCCTCACCAAAAGATATCAAAAATATTAAAACGTTTTGGTGACGAAAATATATTCCTCACAAATAATTTTATAATTAGTGACAATTTTTTTTCTCACTAAAAGTCTCAAAATTTTGGCGCCACCCAAAAAAATTAGAGGGAAAATTTTTGGTGACGAAACTTAATTTTTCCTCACTTAAAATGAAGTATTTATTGACAAAAATAAATTTCGTCACCTATCATTTTTTTATTATTATTATATGTGACAAAATTTATAAATTCCTCACGAATTATTTTTCTTTAGTGACGAAATTTATTTTCTTCACTAGTTTTCGTCACCATAGGTTACTTTTGTTGTAGTGGTGGGTGGCAACACCCCTAGGTGGTCGGCCTTGCTTCTACAGGTTCCCATGGTGGAGTTCAAGCTTTGTGGAGCTTGGTGCAAGGTTCTGAGAACAATTGAAAACAGAGGCAAGTTGGGGCATCGCAGTGGATTTCCAAATGAGGCAACCGGACATGCATGCACTCCTCTTCCCGAGCACCTCTCTTCACTGTTTTCCTTAGCTAGTTTATGCTTTGGTTCTGTATTTAAGTAGTTAATGCGTTTAGCTGCTTATTTGTGTTGTAATAACTAGTTAGTTAAGTTGTTAGTTAATTAGCTTGGTTTTGTACTTAATTAGTTAACTTGTTATTTAATTAGTTTTGTGATGTAACAATTAGTTTAATTAGCTTAGATTAGCTAGTCAGCTTTTTATTCGGACCCTCCGTCGAGAGGGCAACTGTTGTAATAAGCGTGCGTGTGTGTGATGCATGTCTTCCAACCTCCATTTCTTTCTCTCTTTTACTTAACCGCTTACAATGGTTAACTTTAGGGCATATTTCATTAGCATCCTTATGCTTCGCATGCGTGCATTCAGTCATCCGTCTTGCATGCACCGGCCTCGGCGCATCATACTAACTGCATTGTACTTAATTCCATCTTAGAATAACCGAGCCTATTGTAGTTGCATTTTTGCATATGTTGCATTAGCCATCTTAACATGAACTAGGATCATGCATGATTTCTAACTAGTTCTTTGTTTTGGCACGGAGTACACTATGAGTGTTTACGCTTTAGCATCCTTGCATGTATGTAAGTGACTGCTATGTTAGCATGCTTCCCATGAGGCTATCTGCTTAATTGATCAACTGCATGAATGCCTGTGGATGAAGGTTGGATTGCTTAAATTGGAACAATTCATCAAAATCCTCGTCGTAGCCTACTTGCAAGTAGCACCTCTAAACCGTTTTCGAACAAACGAACATGCAATGTTTTGTTCCAACTTAGGCGATCTAATCTATACTTGTATGATGTGCGCATCATATAGTAATTCTAGGTTAATAATCGGAATAAGAACACATTTGTTTTCAAAAACAAAATATCATGCTTAGTAAAGGCCGATCTTTGATCGGGCGAGCGGTGGTGCTCATTGCATGACCTTCCCCTCTCGTACCCAAGTTCTCGAGCCGAGGTAACTTTGGTGATGACAGACACATGGCCTTAGACACGAGTCAGGGTTTCCTAAATTTTCCAAAATAAAACATTTAGGTGGCAACACTGCATCTGGCAAAGCAGTCCATGTTTGGCACTTCTTTATAAAAATCAGTTTTCCAAACGATTTGTCGAATTTGGACTCTTTGGTGATTTATCAGTCTCACATTGCACTTTGTGAGATTAGATTCAGAACCGTGACACGGGTCCGAACTGTAGTAGCTCAGAACAAAACAAATTCGTGCCCTCGCGCGCGGAGCCGGGGAGTTCTCGGGGCGGTCCACATTAGCTGTTACTGGGGTATTGAAGGTTCCATTGTGAAACTTAATGCCTGTACCGGAGGCTCCATCATGGAGCTCAGTATATCTATTATCTGTTACCTGGATCTGGAGGTTCCTTTATGGAACTGGTTACTTATAACCACCATCTGATCTGTATCTGTATCTGTTCTGTTAGCGCTAATAGATATACCACATATGATTAAGCATGAGACTTTGATTTCTGTAAATGATGTGAACTAGAATATGAATGTGAATCTGCTTTCCAAATCTGATATGGGACATCATTCAATTAAACCCCTTTACATTGTTATTATTAATTGGGCTCCCATTCACTGTATTATTTATGTATGTGGGTGATTAAGTGCACAACCGGGCCCAATGATGATTTCCTGAAATTTTGTTTTGTCGGCCAACCTTTGTGCCTCCCAAGGAGGTTTCGGAAAAGTCATGTGGTCGTGTTTTACGAACTAAGTCTAAGACTTCATTTTCTTTTGTGAAATTTGAACAAGTTTCTGTTTATCCGTATGTTGGGTTAAGTCCCTTTTTTGCTTTATCTGTATTTGTGTGTGACATAGGACTAATGTATATATATGACGTCACATGTATGTATATAAAGTTAAAATTTCAGTCCCATGTATGCTTGCATGGCTCAATGGACTGTGTATGTTTTATATATCTTTTTCTGCAGCCCCTTATAACGTGTTAATCTGTTCAGAGGCCTTTGGTAATCCTAGAATTACTAGCCGGTTATGGCGCTAAACCTATAGGGGCAGGTTTGAGTCGTGACAAATGCCTTCGAAGCAACCACCTCATCTTCACACCAGGTTGATGGGCACCACAAATGCCTTCATGTACCTCACCCATGGCAGTCAATGCCTCCTAAACATTCCAATAGCAACCCATCTACTCCCCTTTTGTAAAGGGCATTCCTATACACTGTGAATTGCATTGATTGCAATTTAAGCCTTCTACTGGCTTTCGAAGAAGGACCAGTTAAATACTAGATGATTGGATGTCTCCAATCATATTCTTCCAAATTATTATGGTTAACTTCTACCATGATATCCCTTTTAGCCAAATATGGTACTAGCTTCTGATATGTTGCTTGACTTATGTCTATTTGAGTGTCAACCCTTCTTCTAAAATTTGAAACCCTCTAAACTACATCATTGGCTTTGTGATTCATGAATCTCGGGATAAGTCACATTTTTTATTTGAAACCGAGCAAGCAAATGTAATGTAACAACATAATATGGTAACATGTTTGCACTTTGACATTTAGAAATTCCTTTTACTTGGTTGATTACTGTAGACCATCCACAAGACTTTGGCGCTTTATTTTGAGCACTCAATAATGAAAGTTACATTGTGTATGGTTTAAATTCTCAATGAAGGAATCCGAAATCAAGCTCTAAACAATCCCAACCTTCCATACCCAAGGTGTTTTTACCACAGAAAACCATTTTTGAGCATTGTGCCAACTTGCATTAAACTTGAAACTGAGAAATAGGGAACCATATTGGGGCCCAACCGTGCCTCATTCTGGCCCATCCGTGTCCATTAGAGCCCAACCGTGCCTTTTGGGTGATAAACACTGTTCTCGGCGGGAGTCAACCAGCTATCTATTTTTGAAGATATTTGTGACCTATTTGTCTCAAATTTTGTAAATACGAGGCCTTACCTCTGTTTTGAGGGTTAGAAAAATTTCAAAAAGCCAAAAAGATCTTTGAGAGCTCCTTCTTGCCTTGCAAGCTAACTTTGTGTTATTGTATCATCTTTAAACTATATTTATACACCATATACACCGTTAGAGCTTAAGCATGGAGCATTAGTTGAGACTTAAAAACCACAATTCAAACTTGAGAGTGCCTTAGGATCAGGATTGGTTTACAACAAGCGCTTTCTCTTTTCAAGAGGTATAAGCTTACCACGTTCTTCCTTGCTTTCATTTCAATCTTTTTCTTCTGTTTT